TTTTGGGTCCTTTTGGGTGGATTTTGGGTCTCTTTGGGTGGATTTTGGGTCTCTTTGAGGGGATTTTGGGTCTCTTTGAGGGGATTTTGGGTCCATTTCTGCAGATTTTTGGCCCCTCTCAGGTGATTTTTGGGTCCCTTTGAGCGGATTTTGGGTCCCTTTGAGTGAATTTTGGGACCCTCTGAGGGGATTTTGGGACCCCCTGGGTCTCTCTGAGATGATTTTTGGGTCCCTTTGAGTGAATTTTGGGTCCCTTTGAGTGAATTTTGGGTCTCTTTGAGGGGATTTTGGGTCCTTTTGGGCGGATTTTGGGACCCTCTGAGGGGATTTTGGTTCCATTTCCGCAGATTTTTGGCCCCTCTCAGGTGATTTTTGGGTCCCTTTGGGTGAATTTTGGGACCCTCTGAGGGCATTTTGGGACCCCCTGGGTCTCTCTGGGTGAATTTTGGGTCTCTTTGTGTGGATTTTGGGTCTCTCTGGGTGGATTTTGGGTCTCTTTGAGTGAATTTTGGGTCCCTTTGAGGGGATTTTGGGTCCCTTTGAGGGGATTTTGGGTCCCTTTGAGGGGATTTTGGGACCCTCTGGGCCCTTCTGAGATGATTTTTGGGTCCATTTGGGTGAATTTTGGGACCCCCTGGGTCTCTCTGAGAGGATTTTGGGCCCCTTTGAGTGAATTTTGGGTCCCTTTGGGTGAATTTTGGGTCCCTTTGAGGGGATTTTGGGACCCCCCGGGTCTCTCTTGAGAGGATTTTGGGTCCCTTTGAGTGAATTTTGGGTCTTTTTGAGGGCATTTTGGGTCTCTTTGAGTGAATTTTGGGTCTCTGGGTGGATTTTCGGTCTCTTCGAGGGGATTTTGGGTCCATTTCTGCAGGTTTTTGGGCCCTCTCAGGTGATTTTTGGCCCCTCAGGTGATTTTTGGGTCCCTTTGAGTGAATTTTGGGTCTCTGGGTGGATTTTCGGTCTCTTCGAGGGGATTTTGGGTCCATTTCTGCAGATTTTTGGCCCCTCTCAGGTGATTTTTGGGTCTCTGGGTGGATTTTGGGTCTCTCTGAGGGGATTTTGGGTCCATTTCTGCAGATTTTTGGCCCCTCTCAGGTGATTTTTGGGTCTCTGGGTGGATTTTGGGTCTCTCTGAGGGGATTTTGGGTCCATTTCTGCAGATTTTTGGCCCCTCTCAGGTGATTTTTGGCCCCTCTCAGGTGATTTTTGCCTCTCACCTGTGCCAGGTGCGATGTCGGAGCCCGGCCCCGCCCCCGAGGACCCCCCCGGAGCCCCCCGGGACCCCCCGGGGCCGCTGGCGCTGCTCAAGGCGCGGGCGCTCGACGTCACCTTCGAGGTGGGCGACGAGTACGAGATCATCGAGACCATCGGCACCGGCGCCTACGGCGTGGTCAGCTCGGCACGGAGACGGGACACGGGTGAGGGGACACACCTGGGCACACCTGGGCACACCTGGGGGCACCAAAAACACACCTGAGGACACCTGGGCACACCTGGGGACACCAAAAACACACCTGGGGACACCTGGGGAACACCTGGGGACACCTGGGGGCACCAAAAACACACCTGGGGACAGCTGGGGAACACCTGGGGACACCTGAGGCACCTGGGGGCACCAAAAACACACCTGGGGACACCTGGGGACACCAAAAAGACACCTGGGGACACCTGGAGGGAGC